CTTTGCTTCAATTGTTTATATTCTAGGCACTGTAAGTTAGAAAGGTAACGTGGAGAATAATGAAGCAATAAAGATGTCTCCCTTGCAGATAAAAGAGGTGGGGAAAAAAAAGCCTCATCCAGAGAATTATGCTGTGATTGAAGGCATTAAAGTCCCTTCTCCCCAGAAACGTTTTCTATTTGTGTTGTATTTTCCTTCACCCCCTTGTCCCCCAGGGACTTGATTTGTTTTAATGATCAGAACCTGGCTCCTCTGTATGGGCTGCTGTTCGGCTCCGACCTTTCCAAACTTCACGTGTGAGCTGAGGGAAGAAAGGAACTCTTGTTTCTACGAGTGCTCCTCTTGCGTAGTTGAGCATCATTGCCCACAGCTTCACTTCAGCTCTGCTCCTTTAGCACTGACAATCTTCCAGTATCACTGCCCTCCTCCCGTAGCTGGTCCTGGAAACCTTGTCTGCTTCGCTTTAAATTTCTTTGTTTCCTAAATAGATGCTTTTCCCCACAAGCAGATGCTTTGAGGATCTCCATTTGGAGTGTAGTGTATCAGTACTGTAGTCAAATGAATTTATCAGCAATGCTTTGTACCACTGTTAAATTTTGAGGCCCAAAACTTCACAAAGAGATTAGGAAATAGTACTCAGAAATGAATGCCCCCCCCCTTTTTTTTTCCACTTGGCAAGGAGATTTGAAAGGGTTAATGTTATCCTTAATTAAGTATGTTTGATATTTTAAAGTTTATAATGGCACACAGAATTATTATCCACTTTATTGCAATATTATTTTCTGCTGCATGTCATTTGATCATATCCTTATCTTGCTTGAATTCTGTCTCCATGCTTGAATTCTGTCTTCCATGGAGTGATGCATAGGTCCTGTATAAATCATAAACTAAATAGTTATTTTTTGGGCTTGGGAAAGATAATGATCTTATTAAATGACATTCAGGTGCTTGTTACTTCTCTCTGCTCCTTTCAAAATCAGGCTTACTAAAAAGTTTTTCTGCAGCGGCTCCGTGCGAAGTCCTTGAGGGACCCTTGAGAATTGCTGCTGTGTGATCTTAGGTGTTTTTGTTTTGTTTTAATGGTTACTTTCTTGTTACGCTTTCATCTTTATATAGCATGTATATTTCAGTCAAGTTTAACGCCTTTACCCAATCCATCCTGAAAATTAAACGCTTTTTATTAGAAACAAGTAGTCAAACTGGCCAGCCTTTTTCACTTGTTCAGAAAACTTAACCTTCAGCTCTGCTAGACCTGTTGCTGACAGAAACCTGAACTACAGCTCTTACCAGAATAAAGGTATTTTAGAGACCTTAAAAAAGCCCTGAAGTTCTTGGGAAGGAGCTTGCTGCCTTGCTGAGCACCGTGCTCTGTTGCAAGTGGAGCCCGTGGGTAAGCATGCAGAACCCGGGGCTGCTGCTGCTCCTCCACTTGATAACAGCACCCACGAGCCTTCAGTAAGTGCTTGTTTTGGCAGGGGCTCATGTGTGTCATAGTCATCCTGGTGGCAGGTGAATTCGTGACCAGTCACCCGATTAAGCTTTTTCTCTTTTTGGTGGTGGTGGTGGTTGTTTAAGGCACTGAGCTCCAATAGCTGGGCATGCCCAGCTATTGGGTTTGTATTTGGGGGTAGGAGGCAATTCTAATTATTCTGTGGTTACACTTTGCCAAGTGTAATGGTACAGAGCTAGCTGGGTAAATACTTGATGGTAAACTGTAATATTTTCTTATTCTGTCTAGCAGCAAACATGAGGTCAGAAGAGCCAGTTCCATTACATGAAGAATTTATTTACTGTTGTGGAGCTGCTACACACGTCTTAAAGTGTGGGCCCTGGAAGGACCTCTCGAAAGATGAAAGTAAAAATCTACCCAGGCTTTTATTCATGATTATTCCTGGTAAGTGTTGCGAGTTTTTTGTTTTGTTTTGTCTTTTCATATTTTTGTTGTTTTTAAGAATTATGGAAACGCAGTGAAGTGGGATAGGAATGCTCCATTTTAATATGAAAAAAAAACAAATAAATCATAGCAATTGGCAGATATGTATGCCTAATGTATGCCTAGAAACCAAGAGCCTTGTCATGATGAAATTATTTTCTTATATTTGATTATTGCTGTTATCTGTATCAGTGCCTTAAATTAATAAATATGAGAAATTAGGATGTCTTGTTGTTTTCTGTGTGATGTTTTCTCATTAACAGCATCTTTTTTTTTCTTAGTCTCTTTCCTTTATCTCTTGCACATTGAAGTGCTGCTGCAGTGTCAGCCTACTTCAAGTGTGCCTACTTGAAGATGAAAGCAGCAATAATTAAGAGAGAATTTTAGATACAGTATTTTTTTAAGTGTAGGAAATGTTTTTAACTTAAACTTTCGCCCTTGAATGTCCACAGTAAGCCTCTTCAGAGCCGTGCATGTCTCATATAGTTACATTTAAAATTTGTCATCTTAAAATGCAAGTTTTAAACTTTCATGTAGCATAATTAATGGGGCAGTCCTCAACTCCTTGAAGCCTGCAGGAGTTCTGATATTAGCCAAAGTAGGCCTGAGCCAAAGCATAGATATCATGACTATTCCAATGGTTTAACAGAGTTTGTAGATTTTTAATGCTTCCTTCTGGTTCGATGTAAAACTTCACATGATGCATTAACTAGATGGATATTCAGAAAGAGATACCAAGATGATGTTCAGAGTGCTTCTCTCCATGTGGTCTGGAACCTTTAATAAACAGCTGATTCATGTTTTTGCTCTTATTTTCAAAATTATCTTGGTGACAAATGGGAAGTTCTCCATTTTGAGAGAAAAAAATCAACAAAACCCTCAATCTGCTACAAAACTGGGTTAGGTGGTGAATGAATGATGGTGAATGAATGATGGTGAGGGTGCTTTCTGGTGGGTCGTAACCACCTAGAGTAGCTGCAGCCTCTTGGCTTTCCCTCTAGCACTTAGCAACCATTTAGGTTAAGGGACTAGTAACAGGATGTTGTTGTTGCATAAAACAGAAAGCAGAAAATCAAAGAACTTGTACATGCAAAAGTAATAAATTGAGTGACACTTCTATAAATGGTGTTTTATTTACCCTGCTTGTCATCATCTAGCAATTACAGATTGAGTAGAGAACAAACAAGATGTCATTTTAACCCCTCATTGAGTGATTATGTAATAAGTAGGGTTTTATATCTCTTGAGGTGATCATTTAATATTTTTTGATTAGCAGTGCAAATATTGACTGAGGATAAGTTGATATCAACATTTTCCTTAAGGAGTAATATATATTGATATTGAGGAAAGCAAGGGTGTGATTAGGATTATGCTAATAGAAGGAGAGATTTTTTCCAAGGTATTACTCAACACGTCCTGTTTCCCTTTTTCTTGTGCATTTTCCTTCATTTCTTTTCTGCTCTGATCTGTCTTGCCATATCTTAACCTTTATTTTCTGTTCACCTCTTCCTTTTGCTGAACTGTTTAAACTGCTGAACAGTTTATATTTTAATCGTGATTGACTTCTTGCCCTTGCAAGGGTAACCCTGAGGCTGGCCCTGCTTTCCCAAATTCTAGGTGTGCTTTTATTTGTGTCCAAGATTTTTTTTTTTTTTTTGCATTGAGAGTTAAAAGCTAAAACATTTTCTTTTAAGGAAAAAGATTTTGCCTCCAAGAGCTGGATTTTCAAGGGGGAAAAAAAAAAAAGAAAGAAATCGCCACCAAATAGTATTAACAACTATTTTTGGCAACATTGCCCTGAAATCTGAAATGCTTTCTGGTACAACTGTAAATACTTACTTTAATGTCATTTCTCCCTTGAAATTGCAGTAATGTGTTCCTGAAGGGTCTGCCGTCCGCTCCAGAATCCATGTTGGTCACCTAAGATTTGCTCTGCATATGATAAATAAGACAAGAACAGACAAAGCATTTGACTTAACTTCTTACCTGTAGAACTTCTTACCTGTAAAACCAGTCAAAGAGAATATGGATTGAGGTTTGGAAAAGACACCAGTGTTATTCTGAAGGAAGTTTTCTATTTATTAACCCATGTCATAGAGCTGTTTTAATTTCTGCTTCCTTTTCTGCTGCTTCTCCACTTCAATTTGTTGAAGGTTCTAGGTTTGTTGCTTCACCCTTTAGATATCCAAATTCGTGAGTGAATCTACTTAAAGTGAAGGCCTAAGCTCCTTGCTTTGACTTGCAGGGAGTTGACTGGGAGTTGGCATAAAATAAGGCAGTTTACTTCTAAATCAGGTGCTTGTGCCTCTCCTCTTTTTTTCTGCTTTGGTGTATGCCTTTTTTTCTAGGCTTTAGGGAAGACTGTTATTGGCAAGATGCCTAAAGTGCTGCCCTAGGAGAGATGCAGACAGATGACCCTGTCTGGCAACATGTTCTTAAACTGTAAGAATTAGATTGCATTTCCCTCGGGCTTTTGTGATTGCCCAAGTGTGGAGCCATGCTGCAGTCCAGCAATTTTTATACTTGAAAGGCATGAATTCCTGGCCATGGTTTCTTGTGAAATGAAGAAAAGAAGGGCAAAAGGATGGCTCCATACAGGTTGGTGGTAGAAGAACCCAGACTAGGACAACTAGGACAACAACAAAAGGGAGAGTATGGGCAGCCAAGTAGTTGCTGGTCGGAACTGACCACGGTCAGTCCTACTGTATATCATGGGTTTTCTGCTTACCTAAGGGATCTGGTACATGCTTTCCTATTCATAAGGAAATTCAAGCATGTGATTTTCTTTATGTGTAATCAGATGATACGGTAGTGATCGTGAGAGTTGGGTATTTCAGGGAAAGGTAATAAAAGTCTTTCCTCCTCCGGGAATGTAATTGTTGCAAGAGATTTGAAAATAAAATCTGCGTATTTGGCTTTTGCATTGTTTAGTCAAATTTCTTCTTATAAACGATGAGAGATTTCTTTCTGCTCTTCATAAAATGAAAAAATAAAGTGTTGGAGTAGTGGGGAGGAAACAGTCGCTAAAATTTCTTTGACTCAGAAACTGATGGCAAAATTTGTATTGACTTAAAGTGAGGCAGGATGCTGCCTCCTGAGAACTGTTAGCTGAGTATGCGTGATGCAACTAAAATACAGAAGGTTCAGCATAGTTTAATCTCATTTAACTATAGCAAGCAAACATTTTATATATGACTGTATATATACTAACAGTAAAATTTTAAAGTCTAACATGCTTTTTTGCTCAGTAAACTGTTTTTTCTTCTGTACGTTATTAGTGTGTTTACTGAATTAATTACTATGTAGAAAGACATGATTTGTCCTCAATCCTGAATACATGTATATACTTGTCTGTATTAATACTAATTCTTTTCTTTTAAAACCAATGAGATTTACTTATGAGACTAAAATTAAATGTATGCTAGTTGAAGGATCAGATCCATGGTTTTCTGGAAATGTAGGCGTTATGGAAAGGACAGGTATTGCTTTTTTCCCCTTATGTCATAAAGGTTTATTTTTTCCCTTTGCAATGTTTGCTTAGTGTAAAATTAGCAATGAAGTATAAAAACTACTACAGCAATATTTAACACTGCTTGGGTTCACTGGAAACCAGGATCCATGGTGTGTAATGGAATTTTTTGTACTGTTTGAAGAGTATCTGTCTATTTGTGTCTGTGTATTTATGAAACATTTAACTTGATAAATACAGTACAAATTTTAAAACCACTGTGCTGTTTAGCTAAACCATCATGATTTTTTTTTCCTGTATTTCATTGTGCAATACCAATTGACGCAATACCATCCGTCCAGACATTGTAATTTTTGCCTCTACTGCTGTAAAGTTTGCTGTTTTGTTATGGAGTCTTGTATGCAGGAAACTTAGTTCACAGTTGATAATGTTTAATATAAATAACTTCTTTTTTGTAGTAAAATATGCTGCATGACTTTAATGCATTAATACAGGTATTTTTTTTTTCATTCAGAATTCATTTTTTTTGACATGGAGTCAGAGTACTCCCTATGCTTACCAAGTTTCTTGATATGCCTGCTTTCCATTGGGTGGCTGCTGGGTTGTTGGATCATCCATCCAAAGAGTATCTGGTTGGGATACTGTTTTACCACCTCAGGTAGTGACATGGTGTTTCAGTCCCCACAGACTTAAAAGAAAAAAAAAAAAAAAAAATTAACTACAAAGATTTAATTAGATTGAATCTAATGAGCTAATCTTCCAAGTCAAGCGTTGCTGATGGCTTCCTGCGCAACTGAAGCTTGTAGGGTGTTGCAGTTGGCTTTGGGACTTGGGTTCTCGTCCTCTCCTGGGAGTGGGCACTTGTACTCAGCAGAACTACTGTTCACAAAGACTAAGCAGCTGTCTTTCGACAGGGAAAATGCTGCAAACAGTTTACCCAGGTTATGAGGAGTGTCTTTCATGTATTTTTCCTTCAAGTAAGACTTCCTGCTTGCTTTAAAGTCTGAAGTTCTATTTTTGACTAAAATGTAGGGACTTTGAATTTTTTTGATAGATTATCTGACTTTGTTTGTTTTCCCCTCCACCTTATGTTTTGATCTTCAACAGTCATCTGCATCAGCATATGGACAAGAAAAGCTGAATCATTGTGCAATATTTTGCATTAAAACGAATTTCGTAGTCCTGAAGCTGAATTCTTTAGTGGAAGGAAAATAAACAAAACACAAAAACAACTTTCCTGAAATTGTTAATCATTACCTCTGCTGAGGAGTCATTGGGATGAATAGTTCAGAGGTCTACTGAAAGAACTACCACCACCACTAACATTCAGGGGTTTGCTTATTAATAGAAGGATTTATTGCTTCATTCTACAGACTACACAAAGCATACATTTATGCTAATTCTTTCTTAGCATATACTTCAATTTAAACAATTTATATGCTTAAATGTGCTTGCTGATATGTAGCCTCTATGTTCTAGGTACTCATCAGCA